CAGTTACCGACTTGTAAATTGGTTGCGAATATAACTTTTGTTCAATCGCCCTTTATGAATTGTAATGTCTTCGAATCGATTTAAGCTTGTCTGTCCGTCTGGCCACTAGATTGTCTGCCCGAGCGTCCGCCCCTAAGTCTCTTAATTCACCGTTCAGTATCGCTTTCCTTTCTATCAAATGAAAAGACATTTGGAAATTTTCTTTTATTCTTATCCTTAAATTTATTTGAAATTTCTTACTTTTCTATTCCATTTTCTTCTATAAAATACTTTCAAATGAATGTTATTTTAAATATCATACAAAAAGTTATTTTTCTTTTTAAATAATAATAGAAAACTGAGTTCTTCAATTTATAATAATAATAATAATAATAATAATAATAAGTTATGAAGTTATGTTAATGTGTATATATGTAGCTATGCAATGTATATGTAGGTAGTAGTCTAAAACCGTTTCAAGGAGAGTTTTTCTTATTTCATAACTATTGAGAATTTATGTACTAAGAGTTTTTTATTTCCTATTTTTCTTTGAATTACGCTAAGAGAGCATGAAAGGGAAATAGATAGAACGTGAGGACAATTATACAATACAACACTGACGAGTTCTGCTTATCAATTACCTTTTTACGTTTTTTATTTAACCTAAATGCCTATGTTTATGAGATGCATGCAAAAGCTTAACATTTAACAATAGGTTTAAATTCTTTTTTTCTTTTCTTTTTTTTTTTTTTTATCTTCCTCTCTTGTTATTTAATATATTTACTTGAGTCGTTTATTATTTAAATGTACATACATATTTACATAAATATTTTAAATGATTTGTTGTTTGGCATATAATTTTTATATTTTTTTAATTTAACAAACAATTACATTTCATTACATTATTTAGGGATCCGATCAGAAATTAAGCTAAACTCTTGACAACAATACAAACAATCAATATGGTGGTCACAACAATTGGACGGTATTTTTTTTTTTTTTTTGTTTCTCAAACGTTTGCTGGAATATGGTCAAAAGATAATTTCATAATTTTCCCCTATTATGAATCATATGCTTATTACGTCTTGTGTTACTTAAAAGGCTGTAAGTTTTTGGCTATTATATGCAAATTAGTTTGATTGCAAACCCAGCTGTTAAAAATAAATAACATTTTCCACAATAAAATGCTATAATCGAGCGTGGTCGACAATTAAACACCCAACAGAATTGTCTAACTACTTCTCAAGAGTACGACGTTGTATGAGGAGTGACGGTGAAGATCGTTTGATCCAATCGATTTTCAAGAGAGGGCGTTCGAGGATCGAAACACGTCGATGTCCAACATTTCTTCAGGTTGTTTCAAAAATTTCGACGTGCGTGCGGATTGAACACAAATATACATGAGCAGGCGCCTGACAAACGGAACAGGAGAAGAGCAGGCAGACGGACCGACAGATGGTTAGTTGGACACACAGGTCGATACAAATATACACACGGGCAGACACACGTACATGCAAATAAATAGAAGTTCACAGAGACCGACGGTCACTTCGAGGGACACATATGTCTGAAGATTCCGAAGATTAATTTAAATCAACCTGTATAATAAGAGGGGATCCGGGGTAAATCCGTTTGGGGGCTGCAAGTCCATCCGCACAAACTTAGTATACCGTTTAGCACAAGGGATATAGGTATTAAAGACAAATTGCCATCAAAAATATTTCAAGCTTCAAAAAAAGTGCATGTTCAGCGCGCACACAATATAGTCATAAATTCAGTTCATTTTTCTTCTTTAGTTCTTTTCTCGCAATCTATGTAGATTGATTATTTGCCTTCGGCTATAAAGAAATTACAAAGCATTGCATTATCAATATCCATCTTCTTCAATTTACTATACTGTATTAAATAAGTTGCTGGCTAATTTAACTTAATTCGAATTAATGTATAATATAAGCACTTAATCGTTGCTTTTGTCGTTTAATTTCTGCTTTTGTGCAATAGGTATTGAAGCTTCGTACGCGAGTTCGTTTATAATTTTAAATTTCTGTCTGTTCGTATGGATGCTCGTTCATCCTCTCTTCGTTCTGTAGAATGTAAACAGCATAACTAACACTACAAAACCTGTATAACTAATATATTTTAATGAACTTTATAAGCTGGCAATGCTGGTTTAAGATCACAGTAAATTCTTTTCGGCTTTCATTGCCGGTCGGTCACGAATTTTAGTTCGTAAAATAATTATAAAATATTAAAAAATTTGTTAATACAATAATTACATTTTTAATTTATTGAGTTTAATGTTTTGCTTATCAAGATTAAAAGAGATAAAGGAAAAAATTTCGTTTCGTAAAAGTTTGTAAGCTCGGAAAGGCAAATCAGAAATTTTATTGTTATTACGGTGTAGCAAGAGAAAATTCTGATTTGATGCTCGCGTAAATAATTAATGTGAAATCATTTTAAAGCGTGTATTAAATTCTATTTTATGGAAAATTGTGTTGTGCTTGTTCTATCATGTGCGTTTGTGTTTAGTTTACGGTATACGTGTACTTGCTTTTTGCGGAAATCATTGTAAGCAAATGTATTTTTAATAGCTGGAGAATTCGGCGCGTTTTTCATTTATTCCCATTAAGTTCGTTGTTTAATATTAGAATAAAGTGAATGTAGTGTTATACTTGTGTTACGGTTGTTATCGGATTACGTTCAGGGATAGTATCGAACTTTTCTCGTGGAACTTATATTTCTCGTTTCGTAAATTTAATGAACTCCAAATTCAAGGTAAGTGCCTGCCATCTGCATGCCTCAGAATAATCATCTAATTTGTAATAATTTTCTTGGTCAATTTTAAGGCTTTACTAACCGCAAAACTATTTTCCAATATGAACCAAATTGTCCAATGGTATAAAAAGTTGATTATTGCATCAGCCACCTTTTCTTTTCATTGATTTATTTTGAAAGCTCAGTTTTGAGAGTGTATGTAATGTAGATCGTTGTACAATTTATGGAGCATACTGACTGACTTGCTTTCCGCTTTAGCAGTTCGTTGGCTAGTATATTTTTGATTTGTACACCTTCTATATGCTTTAAAAAGATCAACATAAAGGAAATGAGTTCCTGGCTGACATATTTTTATACGCCAAGCAATGTATGGAGAATAAAAATGATTATTGCAAAAGAGAACCTATGTGCTTGCATATATAGCCGATCCATATTGAGATAGTTATAAGATGGCATGTCTGCCTCGGCGCTTCGTTTTCATTATTCAAGTTTGCGGTATTTGAAGTAAAAGATAAATTCTTTATCCCTACCGACAAAGAATGGAGCTACATTAGTTCAGTCCCTGTTAAAAGGACTCCCTATATGTTCTTTCACAAGGTGTGCAAACTTGTGATCGGCTTAGTATCCTGTCTGATTGTCTATCCGTCCACTTGCAGGTAGCGACCTAAAATTTTTGATAGATCCGTCTAGTCATCCCTGTCGGGACCAAAATTGTGCAATTTTTCTGCTATCTAGGTTTTGCGCGCTGTGCATACAATTTACGTAACTACGGCTAACTTTGAAAAATCTGTTTTTATTAAACAAAGCAGAAATACTTTGTGTGAATGAAATGGTTCAGTCCAGTCTGTTACCTCTTATATATTTTAGGAATTTTTTTGTGCGTGGCAGTTAAATTTTCTCTTCTATGAAGCTTTTCAACCTAATTAATTTAATTTCAAACCATTTGCAAAAGCAATTTCGGAAGAAGTCTAAACGAAAACTTTAAGAAAGCAACTGACCGTTTACTTAAAACTAAAAGATTTCGAAATGATATTAAATGCAAGTTTAGCTTAATTTCTTAGTAAGTTTAGGGTTTCTTTGGTATCTTCAAGTCTGAAATTTCAATTTTGATACCCACCATTCCGGCATAAGATTACCTTATTAATTTTGCATTATCTACTAAATCGGTTTCAGACAATTCCTAAAATCCTTCTCTAGCGTAAAATTTAAGGCTGGCGCATCGTTCATTATAAAAAGATTTCCGTTGGGTAGAAGGGGAGATTGGAAGATTGCTTGTTATAATTCTTAGTAGATGGAGGCGAGGTTTCATCTTAACTGTTGTAGACAGAGATATTTAAGGGGATTCTATTCAGTGCTGATATACCATCTATGAGAAAAAGGCTCTTGGTTGAGAGAAAGGAAGATGGGAAGATTGTTCTTACTTGGTAGGATATATAGGAAAAGTTCGAACGTAACCATTGTAGCCAAAGACATTTAAGCGGATAACATGTATACAGCTGATATATCGTCCATGATAAACAGTCTCTTGATCGGGAAAAGAGATCGTGGAAAGATCGTACTTCATTTTCTTTATAAAGTTTGAACGTACTCAGAGCTGATATACCGTCTATGAAAGAGAGGCTCTTGAGAAAAGAGAAGATGACAAGATTTCTCTTAATTCTTCGCAGATATTGGCGAATTTCGAAAATATCTGTTGTAGGTAGAGACATCTAAGCGGGTACACTATGTACAGCTGGTATATCGTCCATGATAAAAAGCCTATTGATCGTTCATACCTCTAACCTCTAACCCTTGGTAGATACATTCAAATTTCAAACATAACTATAGTAGTAGCAAATATAATAAAGTAAAGATAATTCAAAGAATTCTATCCTATGAGGAATTGGCCAGCAATCACATGCCAATATGCGAGCAGTGGATATCAAAGATTCGTATTGAGACGAATACAACTTTCTTAGACGTTATAATTTCAAAACACTTAAAATCTAAGGATTTAATCTTTTTTTCACAATTTGAATATTTCAAGTTTGCTTAAAACTAGGGAATTAGACTAGAGCTTATTTAACATGATACATAGTAAAATTTTCAATCGTACTAGGCTTAAGGGTTGAACGAAATGCTCTGTTTAAAATGGGAGAAGGAAAAGAAAAGAGAAGAAATAAATATGTTGGACTATATACAATTAATGATTGGTTGAGAAGTTTATTAGAAGTTTGGTTTTTTTTGTTTTTATTTATTTACTATTTTTTTTTTTTTGGCATAGGATATGTTCCGTTTAAATGCTTTAATGCTGTTTGTGTCAGAGTTTCTATAATTTTCCAATTCCACTTTATTCGAAAGTCATTTCAATTAGTGTTTTTTTTTTTTTCTATTTTTCATATCTTCCTTCATCATTCACTTTCTATATAAGTAACTATGTATTTACTAATGTAGTTATCTGGGTATGTACATGAGGAATTTCCCACTACTTGTCAACATTAAGCATATAATTATTATTAGTAATTGATAATTGGAAGTTTGCAATAGATTTCCGCCATTTGATGAACCTGTAAAGGAAACGATAATTGAATCGAAAAAAAGCGTCAAAAAATATATATATATTTCAGAAACTTTACCTTGAGCTCTGGGTTTAGCAGCCACTGTCTCCCGTGATTCTAAAGCAGGAGCACGTTGAGGACGATCCGATTCTACACTTTCTTCACGACTTTGAAAATAAAGGGAAGAAATTTTGGCTACACACTATCTCAGCGGCAAAAAGAGAAAGCGAAACCCAGAAGCATTTAGTTTTTTTTAAATTTTTTTAGTATATCTCTTGCGACTCTTTCCTTACCTTCAATTTCATATCACCATTCTTAAAATGATAGCCCCTGACACGGAATTCCAAGCCTAATATGGCCACTTCGAGACCTTCGCGGCCATACACGATGTTATCGTAGTATTTGAGATATGAACGATTGGATGGCTCACCGTTAATAAGCCAGCTTAAATGGCAAACAGGTTTCGAAGGATACGAGGTGCAGTTAACCCTGACAACATCGCCAATTTGATAGCGTGATTGTCCGCCCGTTATCCGAGGACCACGTTGTGGTGTCACTGCAATAAAATCACGAAAGCGATTACTCAAAGTGTTTTGTAAATAATTAATTGAACGACTTTAGGCTGTTCAATAGTAAAAGCGCAGGAGGAAAAAGATAATTAACAGTTTGGATTACATTGATGTCAATAGACAATTGTCTAATTGGAAGAAGAGATTTTAATGATTATCAATTAACAAGGCAGCAATTGTTTGGTAAGCAAAATTCTTTAAATAAATGAAAGACACATTTTTTTGAAGCAGCTAAATGCATAAGTCCACGTACGACCCAACATTAAATTATGGATGAATTCGAATTATCGCACAGTTGGAGGCCTGTTTCAAATAAGATAGAAGTTGCATTCATCTCGGCAGGGATTATTTAGTACCATTAGCTTATGTCGATTAGCATTGATTGTAAACTAGAGTTAACATCCATTTACTCGGTACATCAATTTTATACTTTTATCCGTACTTAAGGTTATAACCACCACCGCCGGATGAGAAATATATGCGTGCAAAAGCAACCCTCGCAGACGCCACACAGTGTACATATTCTTGATCAGCATCAAATTCTGAATAAATCTAACCATTGTGGTATCGGTTGCAAACATTCTCCTGGTCGGACAAATGAAGCTATCGACTTGAAATTTGGCACAAATATTACGAATGCTTGCTCGCAGGTTGTTATTGAAAATGTGGCAAATCGGTGGACGGACACGCCTACAATGCACCACTGCTTTTCCAAAGGAAATAAAAACGGTTCTTTGAATATATATTTTATGGGGGATGCTATAGCTTCTGTACAAAAATGGGAATTGTTGACCCCGCCTGCTCAATTTTATAGTGTCTCATAATATCATTTTTTTCAAAATCTTCACAAGCTTGAAAAGTTCCATAAGGTATATAAATTCGGAATGCACACAAGCATGTCCGTCCGTTTATATGTAAATCTGTCCGTCTGAGTGATTGTGTGCTATCTGTGATAATCTTGCCATCGATCACAAAGGTGAGGATATCGCCTACAATTTTACAAAACAAAATTTTGAAAGAACCCTCCTTCGACACCCGTCACTCTTTACTCATAAAGCGCAACACATATCCCATATAAAATTCCAGTTTCCGGAAAATAGAAAAAAATAGAAAATAGAAAGAAGTCGACCGAGCCCATTCAATATTACACAGTAAGAAAATGTAATTCGTCTCCATTTTTTAGGATAACGGTGATGGGTATCAATTTTCTTATTTGTTATAATATTGCGTCACTTTATTATAAATAATTATGGAAACTAAACGTCATATTCCGCGTCCCACTTTCGTATGATTTTTACTCTTTACACCCTCTCTCTCTCTCTCTCTCTCTCTCTCTGGTACAATATGCAATAAGCTTGGCTTGGCGTTGCCATGTGCTTCATCCCAGGAATGGACTTTATCCAAAATGCCCTGCACTGGCGCCCTTTTCACAACCGCTCTCGACTTAAGAAACTCGCAATTCTCAAAATCTTTCAAAAAAAATATATGAGTAGTGAAGTATTCCGGCATATTAAACTGATGCGAGCAATTTGGATTTGATGAGAAAATTTTTAATTGGGGGCAAGAAACTTGGACTTGAGAGAACTGCTTGAAACTCTTTGCTCCTTGGATCTTGCCTGGCAATTATAAAAAAAAATTTATGTAATAACATGCAAAAGCACATTGCTCAAAATCGGCCAAACACTTTATAGGTATTAGTCCTTCGGGATCTGAAGGCGTTTCCTGCCGTTTTGTGGGCAGATCACTGAAAAAAGTTTCAGATCAACATCTGCTTTAGAAATTACATATTTTCGTACTATAGGGTTGCTTGTGGGCGCGGCTAAGAATTCTTGAAACTTCACCTTTCCATATTAGTTCAGGAGGATTCAAATGGATTCAGAATTCCACATCTTTTACAGAAATCCAGTTTACTGCTTTGCACCCATGATGAGGGTAAAAGAATTACCATTTTCGGAAAGAGGTTTTCACAAAAGTGAAACTGAAAAATTTAAGACACTACTCGTTACATTCAATGGGAACGTGGCTACCTCTGGACTTCATAAACTTCCACATTTCAAGAAATTTTTTTTACAGCATTATTTGAAGAGGATTTAAAAAAATTTCCGTTAGCGGTTGGAATAAGTGAAGTGAAGAAATCTTAAAATGTTTCCAACTATAAATTTTTGATTCATCCCGTTATCTTTTCGCGTAGTCTTAATGATATGCAAGCGCATTAAGTCCTTGTAGTCGATGAAATTTTGCGATAAAGTAAGCTATTGATGGCCTTAACATTTTACAGAACGGTCATTAGTAGCCCTTTGGTTACCGACGCTTACATATCAACAATTCGTTGTCTTGGTTGCAGCAACAGTCATTTGTTATTTCATATCGAGGTTACTTTGCTCTGCAGGCAATGTAAAGCAGAACAGAGCTGGCGCCATGGAAACTTGCGGACGAGTGGCCGGTCGGTAAAGTGTTAAAAAGCTGATTATACAGTTTCTTTTGTTTCGCACTTTTATCTCTTGACATTTCTACAAAACCCCTGCTTAATTTTTGCACTGAAGTCGTGTAATGTGTTGTTGTCCAAAAAAAAAAAAAAGAGGAACATTTCCAATAGGTAAATGCATTGCGTAATACAACGTAAATATGTAAAGTATACGGTGGGAGATGAAATGTTTACGCTCGACATTTATATATCTGAATACAGATGATTGTGTTATAAGAATTATTACCGAATATCCGAGACAACGACATATGTATAGATAGATGTTCCAACATTTGGTTCAAAATTCAGCTAAGGAGATCCTTAAGGCCTTTTTTTGCATCTATTATCAGTAGCAGTACTAACGCTGTTAATTAGCAGCCATTTGTATGCTTGCTCTGAAAATTTTCCTACGCGTTTCATTAACAGCATTAGTGCTATTGTTGTTAACAGACACACAAAAAGTCCCCAAAAATCTCCCAATCTTAAATTTGAAAATAATCGTGAAGCATCCATGTATTTCGTTGTATCCGGATATATTTACTGATTCCTTGCCGGCTTTTTAAATTCTGGTGAATTATTAATTTACAAACATACAAAGGCTCGAAAAGCCCTTTTTCTTCTTTTTCGTTGTTTTTTTCGTAATCTCATTTACAGGACTTAAAAAGGTATTACCTCATTTTAAATTGAAAATATTACGAATTGAAGAAATTTTACACTTTTATTGAACGTAATAGTTAACGTTTTAATGGCACTAATAAACGATGAAGTTTCTGAATAAATTACTCTTAACAAGTAACAAAAAGTGTATCCGGTCTTGACCGAATCTTTTATGCCGATCACCGTCATTTTAAAAATGATTAAAAAAAAAAAAACAATGAAATTCTCATACTCTATATTATTGAGCAGGCCTGACCCATTTTTTCTATTTTCAGAATAAAACTGAATATTGATATCGCGTATGTGGTGTGTACTTTACGAGCAACGGGTAGAAACAAGGAAATCAAACGTATTCACAGTTTTTGTTGCATAGGCATGTGGGCGTTGTAGACGTGTTCTTTGAAGGGTTTTGTGTCTTTTTAAAATCCTCTTGGAAATTTATAGGCGATATCTCCAATTAGTTGGGTAGACGGACAGATGAATATGTTAAAGTGCATTTCGAATTTGAGACTGGCCAAGACGGTTTATATACTTTGTAAGGTTTTTAAAGATATGGAAAATAAAACGAAATTTTAGTACGCCTTAATAGGTGGGTAGGCAGACAGACAAACCTGCTGCAACCGATTCGCAATTTTATGCTGATCAAGAATCTATATACTTTATGGAGTCTACGAAGCTTTCTTCTGGCGGTTGCAAACGTTTTGACAAAATGAATATATCCAAAATGCTTTGGTGATGGATATAAAACGAACACAGTTTTACACATGAGTATTGATTTACTAAAGAATTATTCACTACTTCTGCGTTATTTTCTGTATGTTATTTTAAAATGATGTCTTGTCAATCCTTAATGACCAAAACGTAAGAAAAACTTTTAGTAGTTTTTTCATCTCAAAAAAAAGGGGAAAAAAAAAAAATAAAAAACAAAAAAGAATAATAAATGTATAAATAAATAAAACACCATGCTTTGCTGCTAGTAGTTTTGTAACAAAAGACTGAAAGCGAGTTTTTTTTTTTTTCACTTTCTTGCAGGCAGCCAGTCAGACTTTCAGTTGCTCAGTCAGGCAGTCAGTAAGTCATCTAGCGCATTTAACTAATGGTTTTGTACAAACACATTGGTTTTTCGTATACTTTACCGCCCTTGACTTATAAAAAGTTAAAATAATAAACACAAGTAAAAGAATTTTTTCCCACTTTCGGCCGAATCTTGGATACGTATCACTATCACGTTAGGTAAATGTATAGACGAAGCGAAAGTTTTTTGGAAAGGATTTTGCGGACGCCTTCTACTACTTGAGCTACTTGAACTTGTAGATGTGAATAAATTTTATGCAAAATATTCGATCTATTAGATCGATATTAATGCAACTAGAGAGTAAGAGACTATATATTTTGGGATATACTTAAGGAAACCTGAAGGCTTGGACAACCGCCAGTGGGTAGATAAGTGAGCTGAACGTAAGATTTCGAATCATTTTATTTATTGAGCTGTAAATGGAATGGCAAAGCCAGCCAGAGCTTTCATCCATCCTTCCTTTGGTATTCTCTTATCCCTTCATTTCGTCTTCAAAATTTATCTTTCATATAACGTGTGCACATTTTAGTTCACACAGAAACACATTTAGTTACTTTATGTTGTTGGGTTTCTTCACAATTACTTGCACTTACTTATGTTAAAAACACACATAGGACTTTGTTTATTCACAGACACAGATTTAAGTTCACCAAGATTATTTTATGTTATTTTTATACTCATCGCCGCAGGATGAGGGGTATATTCATTTTGTCAAAACGTTTGCAACGCCCAGAAGAAAACGCCAGGGACCCCATCTTGATCAGTACTTGAATCGCTTTAAGCATTCCGTA